GGTCTTACCATGAGTACTACGGTAATAGCTTATTCCCTATATGGGAAATTCGCTAAAAATAATAGTGCTGCACCCTGTTGGTAATCCTTGTAATTTTAATGCTATTGAACATCATAGAACAGAACCAACTTATTTAATTGAAACAGCTGTTATGATTCATTAATTCCTTTTAAATATGAAAAAAAACCTAAGGTTAACATGGGAAACTCCAGAGCCACTGGGGCGGAGCCCGAGAGTCCGATCAGAATAAAAACAACTTAGTTTTCCTATTTAATGCCTAAAGAATCAATGTGCCAAATTTCAGACTCCTAGGTAAATGGGAAGTGGGAGAATTAGTGATGAGCGAGTGAGTGAGTGAGTGAGTGAGTGTGTCAGTGAGGGCTTTGCCTTTTATAAGTATAGATAAAACAAACTTACAGTTTTATACTGCTCTAAAAAATAAATTAGAACATCTAGCATTGAACCATGTATATTTAAATAGTCTGTCATCCTATTACCAAATACATTAACGTATCAATGAGTATAGCATTACACATAGACATAGTATAAATAAGTCAACCCTATGCATGTCATTATTACCCAAATGCTGAATTTGTGTCACACACAAGCAAAAATTATTATACCAAAAGCTATTGTAAAATGTTAGCCTCGGCTATGCTACACTTTTTAAAATTTTAAACTTATTTTCTAAAAAACTGAAACCCTAAACGAAAATTATGGCGTCGACATTCCCTAGTTATCAAAATTATCTTTCTTTCAACACAAAAATCATGAAAATCCGTCAAGTGGTTGATTCAAAATCGTGAGACCCCTGTCACGTTTTAATATATATGATGATGATGATGATGTTTAACCCTCCTAGGTAAGCAGTAATAGTAAGTTCACTCACTCCACTCACCCAGGTGATATCGGTTAATCGTTGGTCACTGAATCTGAATCGACCGGTCGATTACCTAAATTTTCATTCTTGTCAATGGTGGAAGGCTCCACCATGATTCTCGCCTGCTTTTCAATTTCAAGCAGGCAGGTTTAGTTGTCATGCAACTTCATATTCAAACTTTAGTTCTTTTGGAAATACGAGAAAATAATTGCATTATTCCTTCGTTTGAGACTACTGTCAGTATGTTATGTTTTATCTATGCTACTGTTTTACATTTAATTAAAAATTAATAAATGTTAGGTAAACATAGGTACATGCATAGTAATTAAAGGAAATCTACGGTACAAGTAAATAGTATAGTAGAACCTAAGGGAGTATGTTTTATCTATGGTAGAACCTTGATAACAAGACTCTCGTGGGGATTATCAAATAAGACTTGTTATTCGTGAGCTCGAAGCAACTTGGGATTGGTGCTCGATAGAAACCTATGCGCTTTCATTCCCATATATTGGCGCTGTAGAAGGATTTCTTCGGGAATCTTTCTTCTCCGCCAACTTTCTAAGTTTGCAAAATGTGATGTTCTAATTACAGCATATTATGGAGTGATTTTCCCGCACCTGATATACGCAGTGCCGGTGTGGGGGTGTGAGTGTGGGAAAACGTCTTTCCTTTTCCGACTCCAGAAGAGGGCAGTTAGGGCAGTCTTTGGTTTGAAAAGAAGAACATCTTGCAAAACTTAATTTCATCACAAATTTTAACATTTCCCTCAATATACATTTTGGAAACTTTGATTCTCATAAAAAAAAAAACTTACACCAATACCAATCTTCACTTACACATTCCTATTCACTACGTAACAATTCCCATCTTAAATTGCCATCTCATTCAACTACATTTTTCAAGAGACACTTTCATTACAATGGCATTAAACTTTTTAATCTCCTCCCTCCCTCCCTTCAGCTGGAGTCGGACTTGAACAGCTTTAAAAAGCAAATAAAAAAAATACTCTTGGCCAAGGGTTACTACAGTGTTCAAGATTGCGTCGCTGATGGGTTTAGTTAGTTAGTTTTTTTTTAAGAAGTATAATTGGTATAGTTTTATTGAAGCACAATTGTTATTGTTTATTTTTAATTTTAGTTCTAAGCATTAATTGATATGACCAATGCAAATTTTGTATTCGTTATTTTGGTTCAATAAATGAGTTATGAGTTATCAAGGTTGACTTCTTATCGAGGTTTTCAATAACATGTAATTAAAGAGTAAAATAAATTCTTGGGAGTTTTAAAATGACACTGGTTATCAAGGGTGACTTGTTATCGAGGGTCTTGTTATCAAGATTCCACTGTATTGAGAGTTTTTTTTGTTTGATACTTAATTATTGAACTTACGTTCAAGTCGTATAAAAATAGTACCCTACATCAAAATATCAGAGACATTGCTTCAAAATTAGAACTCTGTTGCACGTTTTCCTCGACACAGATATGCCAGATACAGTGTTTGCCTTACAGAACATAATTTACCATAAAGAATTTTAAATACGGTATTTAAACTGGAGGGGTTTAACGTTTCTCGTTCTGCAGAAAAGACCTTGAGAGAGGCGGAGTCTGTACTTTCACTAACACTGACATTTTTAAATCAGTTTAATCTACCTTCCTTTACCTTCCACCATCTTAGGTTAAGAATACGCGAGTATCAACAGTAACAAGTCGAATCAACAATTAAAATTGTCAACTGATCAGCTGATATTAGTTGACGTTCGAAGCATTACAATTTTACTTCTTTTCACTAAATCCTTAAACCTCATTGGTCCGTTACCCGTGTTGTTATGAGAAAAACTATGCTGCTATGAAATGAAACTATGCTATTAAGAAAGTAAACAGCTTTTAAGTGAAAAATTTTCAATTCTAAGAACTGAACTGAAATGGCTACTTTAAAAAACGGTCGTAGGTAAAATCATTTTCATTCTCTAGGCTAGGGACTAAAAATCAGCTGGTGTAAACATTTGTAAATTTTGATTGTGGTAATCGGGGTAATCGTATTGATCACAATTATTTATCCATTGATTTATTAGGTAAGGTTTTGGCCTATTGTTGTCGATTGCTCAACAACATATCGATGGTAATGTACTGTAACACAATCGTAATAGACGAAATGATTGAATCACTTACTAAACAGTTTGCTAATTTGCATTAGCAGAATTGAAAACAAGCTAGAAGTTGTTTTGAGAGGTTATCTTTACATAAAATTATTTCGTTTTCTAGATTTGTTTGTTAATTAATGATGCAATATGACGAAAAATACAGTTCACCACACGGGCAAAAAGTGACTTTTCAACCCTCAATCATTTTCCGACCTCGGCTTCGCCTCGATCGTAAAACTTGACCTCGGGTAAAAAAGAGTCACTTTAGGCCCTAGTAATGAAATCTAATATATAAAATTCTCGTGTCACAGTGTTTGTCTGCAAACTCCTCCGGAACGACTTCACCGATCGTTATGAAATTTGGTGTGTAAATTCTGTAGGTATGCGAATCGGACGTAAACTATTTCCCGTTTCGAAATTCTTAAAAGGGCTCCGCCCCAGTGGCTCTGGAGTTTCCCATGTTAACCTTATGAGAAATGGAATTAATGAATCTTGACAGCTGTTTCAATTAAACAAGTTGGTTCTGTTCTATGATGTTCAATAGCATTAAAGTTACAAGGATTACCAACAGGGTGCAGCACTATTATTTCTTTTACATTTATGACAACAGCTAATTTGCAACCAAAAGGTGAGTGAGCGCAGCGAACGAGCTCCAACCTAAAGGTGAGTGAGCGTAGCGAACGAGCTCCAACCCAAAGGTGAGTGAGCGTAGCGAACGAACTTCAACCAGGACGTGATTGAGCGACGCGAACGAGATCATCTTGAAAATTAAACGTAACGGTACTTTCTTTCCATCGGTCTGTCTTAGGGGAAACCTATAACTTAGGCGATACGAAGTTCGCCGGGTCAGATAGTATACTATATTATTTCATCCTTGTACGTCAAGCAGTTTCTCTTTGACTCCCCCACTTTAAACATATTCAAACGCCGTGTCAATGAGTGGTTGCTTGGTCTAGGCGGGGACGAGGCTGAGCTTATCATCGCAGCTGATTACAGACACAGACGCTCCTGACACGACGTGCGACCTGACCATTGTACCCTGACTCACTATCCGCCGCCCACTTCTCCCCTCTAGACACACTTTCGAAGCCGTAGAATTCCTGTCACTATTACATTTTATTTATTTTTATTTAAACTTAGTTATGCCACCTAATATTTTTTCACGTAGCCATTCATTTCACAATTTTAATTTTTTTTTTCTTGTAACTTCATCACATCATTTTTTCACCTCATCATTTCTCCTGTTATTTATTTATTTATTGCATTTGATAAATAATGTATGTTTGGAAGCAACTGCAGTCGACGCACAGGCTCGCTGCCCATGTCGGCTTATTCCATATTAACATGTACGTTTTTTTTTTTTACAATAGATGTAATGTAAAGGTTTATTTAATTTTATTCTTTTAAATTCACTTATGTTTTTGTTCTTCCTTTAAATATTTGTGTACATATTTTGTAAATACCGTAATTTGTTGGAATAAAGAAATAATTCATTCATTCATTCATTCAGTTTTTCCGAAATCAATTTGAGACACCTTACGTGGGACACCCTGTATATTTCATGATGATACTGTTTCTTAAACTTACCTTGTATGTGGAAATCAGGTTTTTTTAAAAACCGTTTTCATGAAAAATAACGCCTTAAGTCTGCTTGGAAATAACAAATACGTGTAACCGCAACCTCATGTTCATTATGGTTTATTTTGGTAATAGCATTGACTGCAAAGTCAATAGTAATAGACTACACTCATTGACTATTATATATATACAACGTAGCCAATGCTACAGCTACTACGCTACTAGCGATAAAACATTACAATGGTCTTTATAAAATTGGCGTCGTGTTAGTTTGCAGTTTGGCCGACTCTCAGCGCCAGTGTCGCCGCAACAATCAACAGCAACTGAGGTCTGAGGTCGTTTCTCTTGCTGTGGATTATCAGTTAGTCAGTTGTGTGCGGCCGGTCTTCAGACAAGGTATATTAGGTACGCTTCTAAAAGTCGAGTGAAAGTTCTATAACTAAAGGGATTTTAGTAACTTGTGATTAACGGAGTCTCTCGAATTAAGTTTTCATTGAGGTAAGTGACAAATCTTTTTTATTTTACCTTGCATAACCTGTTGTTTTGTAGTTTGACTTTAATTAAAAACATTGTTTAAGTTAAAACTAGAGGACCCATGCTGCTATGCAGCGTCAAAATAAATATAATATCCAAGAAATAATGAAATTTACGATTTTTTATTGAGTAATACAGTATCTTGAGCTTAACTGATTCAAACGATCAGTAGCTCAAATTAAAGCATATAATTTACTGATTGTTTTGAGTCCAAAACATATAGAAAAACATGTACAATATTGGAGCTATTAGGCTATATATATTAAATCATATAAAACCCTTATTAAAAATAATTTTTATGTTGGTTTTTCACCTTGCATTTGCTTGAAACTCCTCCGATTTGAATAACTAATAGCTTAAATGAAAGCCAGTATTTCATTAAAGGTTCTTAGACTAAAATATATAGGATTATACAAATATATCCGGTGAAGGTACATCTTAAATTGATGTAAGAATTAGAAAAAAAATAAAATTATATGTTTTGATTGAGTAATATAGAAGGAAAATATTTACCGATGTTTTTTGTTAAAACTTGGCATGCATGCCTTCAATTTGAGACCTCAATCATGAAAATCGGTGGGGTAGAAGAGCCTAACAAACTCGGAAAAGAAAAACCAAATTTAACTCCCATAAGAAATACATGGGGGGCAAATTTCGTTTATGCATACACCGAGTGAGATTATAGATAATTATATGCCGATGCTTGATGGCAAATCTGTGCGTGCATACCTTCAATTAGAGGCCTCAATCATGAAAGTCAGTCGGGTAGAAGAGCCAAACGAACTCGGCAAAGAAAAACCAAATTTAACTCCCATAAGAAATACATGGGGGGCAAATTTCGTTTACGTATATGCCGAGTGGTATTATAGATAAATATGTGCCGATGCTTGATGGCAAATCTGTGCGTGTTTACCTACAATTGGAGACCTCAATCATGAAACTCGGTTGGGTAGAAGAGCCAAACGAACTCGGCAAAGAAAACCCAAATTTAACTCCCATAAGAAATACATGGGGAGCAAATTTCGTTTACGTATATGTCGAGTGAGACTATAGATAAATATATGCCGATGCTTGATGGCAAATCTGTGCGTGCATACCTTCAATTTGAGACCTCAATCGTGAAAATCGGTCGGGTAGAAGAGCCAAACGAACTCGGAAAAGAAAAACCAAATTTTTTTAATATATAAGATTCGATTTTGACTAGTATCATAGTTCACGATGACAAAAATTATGGAAGGGTTATAGTAGGAGACAAAACACATTTATACAATGGATTCTCTTATAAATTTAAACACTTTCTTGTAAATTAACTAGATATACTCTTTTGCATTTCTTGTAAGCAATGAATTGGCAGTAAATACCATCAAAAATATTATAATGATCTTTTGTCGTTTTAAACGTACTGTCTATAAACTTGGTTGTACAAATAAACAAATGGCTGTAACAGTAGGTACATACTGTAGTTGAAATTGTTTGCACATCAATTTCTATATAACTGTGTCTGTAAAGTTTTCTATGTTTTTAATACAATCGGGTATTTTACTTGATATGTGACAAAAATGAATCTAATACAGATTTATATGAAAAAAACGTATAAACTGCAAACTTTTGCACCTATCTGGTTGTTAGCACACATTAGCGATAAGAAATATTGGCAAACATTGGTTGTCATAAATTACTCGTTAGAAATGCCTGGTTATGATTTCTAACTTAGTACACCCATGTCAATAGAGCACAATTTATTCCTTGGACTCACATAGCTTAAAGATTTATATACTAATCGAAAGTTTACCATCCTTTTATGTAAATCTATCGATCAACTATTGGATTTATGTGCATGTACACATATATGCAATAGTCTATCCTAACTCCTATAGTTAGAACAAGGGTATTAAGGAGATATCACCTGAGCAACAATGTTTTGATATGTCTATGCGTGGAGCGTCGCCTAGCAACAGAATACTTACACGCATTTGGTTCCGGCTTATGAATGAATCGTGATCAAATTTATATCTAAAGTACTGTTGTTACGGTTGTATTGGGTTCAAAATAGTGTTGGACATATTACAGTTTTTTGCTTGTGGGTTTTAAATTACATCTTATAGAACAAGTTAACAGTACCTACTTGATATTATTTGTGGAGGAATATTGTCAGATTAACTGAACAGATTTGAGTATTCGTCGAAGAGTTTCTTTTTTTTTTGTTGTTAATATACCGGGTGTCCAAAACCACCCGTACACCCCTTTCAAAACGATGGAAACCTTTTCTTCCAAACAAAAAATAATACAGAACTAGCTAAATTGGGCACGGTCTACCAAATGGTGATAATTTCAAATCCAAAATCACACCGGAAGTGGCTTTTTCAGACCTGAAGTTGACTTTTTTTAAAGTAAATTACCAGTTTTGATTACAGAATTGGATTCTACGTTGAAAAATACATAACTTTTGTAACAATTTTTTGAAAAAAAAACTTGTTTTTACTTCTAATCCCCCATTAAAGTCAATAATTTTTGGTCATTCATGTGTCAAAGTTACTCGAAACAATAATAGAGCAAACAAATAACAAAGATTACATAAAGACATAATAGAAATCAGCTGTTTATTTTAACCACCATAGCAATTGAGTAACAGCTGGTCTACACATTGCTAAGTTTATTTTTTTTAAATTTATTTTTACATTTGACCCCTTAAATGTAAAAACAAATGATTTATTTTTAAAATAAAATGAAATCAAGCAATGTGTAGACCAGCTGTTACTCAATTAAGGTGTTTACAATGAACGGCTGATTTTATAAGATTTACCAACAGGGTGCAGCACTATCACTTTTTTTTGCCTGTATGGAAACAGCTGCCAACAGCGCCTGCAAAACTGGTGCAGCTAAATTATTTCAGCATCAAAATTGCCTAGATGGCGCCTTCACATTTTTGCCATTAGAAACTCCACACCGATATCGGGAGAAATCGGGGTACCTATTATCTTAAAGCGAAGGATCTTGTTGGAAAATGATCTTGTTGTTTTATTATTCTGTATAAATTAGGCTTACGATTTAAATCAGCGGTTTCTTGTTCGATGGAAACTTAGCGTGCGCTGTTTTTATACTCCGGCGAAATATTTAAGGCAGATCGGCGTACTCTGGGTTTGAGTAACATTTATTAGTACTATAAAATTCTCAAATATTATACAGTCGAACAATCAAAAGGAACCACACTACAGAGATGTGTACGTTTACATTAGTTCGTTTTCGTTTTCAAAGACGATGGCTGCCAGACCAACTTATAATATTCAAAGGTCATTCTAGGGTTAATTGTTCAAGATGTATAACCCTCGCGTTAATGCACAACAAACTTTTTCGGGAACTAGTACTTTGGACGCCATCTTGTAAACCATAAATAAAATTAATTAAGATTTACAGTATCTAAATGATTGATTGATCAATATTTCTTCAAGACAAGTTTTCCGCTAATGTAAAACAACTAAATAGGCCTAAACAAGTAACCTCATTCAAACGCTAAATGGAAATACACTTTCACAGAGCAAACGTATTAACCATACAGCATGGCGCTAGAAAGTGTTAATCCCTGAGAATACGTAGATTGTATAGTCTACATTACAACTGTTGCAACAAAACCAAGTAACTTTGACAGGTTCTACATTGTTTAATGATTGGTTTGAGAGATTAGCATAGCTATTGTTGAAAGTTACTGACCCTAGTGGACCTATCTTATTAATGAAAAATGATTACCAAATGTAAATCTTGATAATATTCCTACCGTTAATACAACTTTAAAATTGATGTACTTAAATTGTGTATAAGGGGTGTCTCTGCTACATCCCCTTTCAGCTATCCTACTTAAGCGATATTTACGATTAAGGTGTCATTTGATGCGATGCTCCCTGGTGTGGATTAACGTCCGCACTAGTGAGTACTACGACTATCCGCAGTACTATCCTGATAATTAGACCAATTCGTAAATTACAAGGAAAAATGTGGTTCGGATTCCACTATAAACTGTAGGTCCCTTAGTTGCCATTAGCTGTATGGGCTATTAATTAACAGCTGTGTCTAAGGAACATGTCGACCTTAGTCACTAACAAGACTACAAGATCGCGCCACTCATCCTACACTCATCCTTCACTCATATTTGGGTTAAAATACGCACATAGTGGCGTCCCCATCTTAACTAAATGATAATTGATAATTGATAATTGATAATTTTATATCTTAGGTTCCAGCGCACCTGCTTGAATGGTGACAAAAAGTAATTTCCTTGGGCTTCGCCCCTTGCGTTTACGTTATTACTAGAGTTCACTTTCAAAAGATCCAGTGTTGCTGCCCAACTTTGTTTATAACGGTTTCAATGCGAATTATAATATAACAACTGATAATTCGGTTTGAAAGTTTAACCACTGTCAGATTGTTAACAAGATACAGACGATACAGTTTATAGAAAATATTTAAGTAGGCAACTCTTTAGATAAGTCACTCTTTATTCCTCGTGGTGTAGATCTATTTTTGAATAGTCAAAGGGCATTGCGTTGTTATTTTTGCATTGGAATTAAGTTTTGAACTCTATTGAAATGCGCAATTTGCACATGAGTACCCTCGTCTTATCATTTCAAAATCGGCCAGTGTTTATTTATTTATTCTACTATTTATATCTTCTTGACTAGCAGTGTCAACCGGTGCGCTTATTATTTTAAATGGCAATTCGTTCTCTACTATAAATAAAAGTGTTGTTTAAACGTTGTCGAGTGTACGGGTGTGCTGCAACTGTGGTTTAATATATTTGGACCTATCCAAAAGTAAAATAGTTTTCTGTGCTGCATTCTGTGGAAACAGTGTGGCACTATTTCAAAGCACGACTAATACAGAATGTTGTGATTATTCAAACATAAAAAAACAGTTGGTGAAAGTAAACATCTGATTTTAAATTATATTTATTTGTAAACATTGTAGTCCCA